CCACCATGGCGTCACCCCCTCACCCCACCTTGCCCCCGCCCTGCTCCGCCTCGCCCCCTGCCCCCGCCACGGCCTCGCGGAGCCAGGGGTGACGACGCGGGGGTCGGGGGGGGCATATCTCGGTGTCTGATGGTCCTGGCTCCCGTGGTACCGCAGGGGGGTTGCGACAGGGCTCGGTGCCAGGATCCCGGGTGCTGCACTGGGGAGGGGTGGGAGCAGGGGCGCTGCGGGCCGGAGCATCCTGGCACTGGGGTGCCGGGCGCAGCCGGGCCGTGCTGCTCGGAGGGAGTGCGGGGGGGCAGGGAAGCCGTTGCTCGGTGCCAGGGTCCCTGGGCACGCACCATCAGGAGCTGTTCGCACCACGGGAGCGTGTGGAGAACAGAAGGTTTACGGAGCTGCACTAAATGACGAGAATGGTTTGGAGCCATAAAGAGGGACGGTTTTATGTCCCACGCCCGCACCCAGCGCTGCCGTTCTGCCATTGCGGAGACGGGGCGTTATTTATAGACGGCAGCGTGCGCGAGGGAGCCGCGGGAGAGCTGAAAGCCAGCCAAGGCCCCGCGCTTCGCTCAGCCACTCATTTCCCGGGCAGCTGCCGTCTACACTTCTCACCCATTACAAAAAAATTAACAAGTTTGCAGCCAGTCAGGTGGAAAAAACAATAATTGTTTGAAGCCGGATTTCCCCCTTCCCCACTGACGAGTCGCCCGCGGTGAGCGCCGCCGGGCGCAGGCAGCGCGGGAACGGCCTTGGAGCAGGCTGGAGGAGCCAGATTGGGCTGGGGGTGGGTGGAGGGTAAGGGGCATGAGCAGAGGGGGGTGTTCAGGGCTGGGACAGCCGGAGGCTGCGGGTGGGGATTGAGGGGCATTGGCAGGGCTGCGCCAGTCTCCCTGGCTGCGCGGTCGCGCCCGCTGCACGCCTGCGTGTTACGTGGCAATTGCTCGTTTGCTGCATCCTGGGGGTCGGTTTGTGCTGGCAGCAGCATGCCCGCGGGCCGCTCGCCCAGCTCTTGGGCACCGGGGTGTTGAGAGCAGAGGCCACTGGGGGCGGCAGGACGGGTGCCTGGCACGTCTCCCGGTGAGTACGTGACCCAGCCGCGTCCCCCATCACTCCCTCGTGGGGGGGCCCGCCCCGCTGCAGGCCCGGGTTTCCCGCACAGGTTCTGTGACGCGTTTCTTTTGATCCTCGGGGACTGTGGCGGGAGCAGGTGCAGGGCTGGGCCCAGCAGCGCGAGCTCTGGGGAGGGACTCGAGTCCCCAGCCGGACGTGGTGCTCGTGCTGCGGGTGTTGCTGCAGGTGTTGGTGTTGCTGCGGGTGTTGGTGTTGCGGCGGGTGTTGGTGTTGCGGCAGCTGTTGCTGTGGATGTTGCGGCGGGTGTTGGTGTTGCGGCGGGTGTTGCGGCGGGTGTTGCTGCGGGTGTTGGTGTTGCAGCGGCTGTTGCGGCGGGTGTTGCTGTGGATGTTGTGGCGGGTGTTGCTGTTGTGGCGGGTGTTGGTGTTGCTGTGGGTGTTGCTGCGGGTGTTGCTGCGGGTGTTGGTCTTGCTGCGGGTGTTGGTGTTGCGGCGGCTCTTGCGGCGGGTGTTGCTGTGGATGTTGCGGCGGGTGTTGCTGTTGCGGCGGGTGTTGGTGTGGGTGTTGCGGCGGGTGTTGCTGTTGCGGCGGGTGTTGGTGTGGGTGTTGCGGCGGGTGTTGCTGTTGCGGCAGGTGTTGGTGTGGGTGTTGCGGCGGGTGTTGCTGCGGGTGCGGCTGGTCTGGATGCTCCAGAGGCGGCCGCACTAGCAGCGGGAGGGGGGGTGAAGGCACTTGGCCAGGTCACGGTCGGCAAAGCCCTGGCCTGGCGCCCGGTCCCGTGGACACAAACACACAAGTGCCCGTGCCAAGGGGCCGGCTCAGTCGGCACCAGGACGCTGGCCCCGGCCCAGACGCCCCCCACAACTTCTCCATTTAGACACTGACAAAAACAAGTTGTATGTCACGTTCCCGGTGCTAGTTACCAGCCTCGTGTCTTGTACCTGCTCGTTCGAACGAAGCATCGTCATCCGTTATCCTGTCACCTCCGGATCTCCCGGGGCCCGGCGTGTCCCTGGGCCGGCCTGCAGGTGCCTGACAGATCGGTGTGCGCCGGGCACCCGCTCCGGCCAGCCACGTGCTGACCGGGGCCTGGCTAAGAGCTGGCGCCTTCCTGTTCGGCCCGGGGCCTGCAGCCTTCTGCGTGTGAGCTGAGAGGCCGGGATCCCTGAGCATAAGCCAGGGACGCCCAGCGGCTCGGCCTGGGTTAGCTGGCGTATCCCAGCAGCGTCTGTCACCTCTGGAACCGGCCGGAGCTCAGCTGGGGACGTTGACCTGCTTCCACCTGGCAAATCGCTCGCTGGGTTCCTGTCGCAGGGCTGTCGGGGGGACGGGGAGAAACCTGAACATTGGATTATTGGTGTCTGTCACGGACTCACAGGTCGTGCCCACTCTCGGCCCCGTACAGCCCCTGCGGGGACCCCCTTCAACGCGACAGCCCTTCTCGGGGTCCACTCTCTCCCAGGGTTAGGTCCCTCCACCTCCTGGAGCCGCACCTCTCTGAGCCTTAGCACGTCTGTCTCTGCCGTGGGCCCCCTCAGGGAGTCCCCTCGCTCTGGACCCCCCTCGCCCCTCCCTGTTCTCTAGCCCAAAGCAACTCTCAGCCAGCGTAACACAGGAGGTTTATTGAGCGTTGAACCCAGCACAGGAAACTCTCAGGGCCTCAGGCCTGGCCTCCCTCAGCCCAGCACATCCCAGTCTCCCTGCATCCAGGTGGGCTCTGCCTACTCCCCCTCTCCAGCCCCGAGCCCCCCTGCTCCCAGCTGGGCCTCTGAGATCCCCGGCCCCAGGCCCCGCCTCTGTCCATTGTCTTCTCTCCAGGTAAACAGGGTCATAAACCGGGCCTCCTCTCCTCTCTTCTGTCCTCTGGCCTCTCTGGCTGGAACTGGCTGGTCAGGTCACCGGGGTCCTCTCTCCGCAGCCCATTGTCCCCCCACTGGCCAGAACCAGCAGCGACTCTGAGCTGGGTCTCCGGGTCGCCAGGTCACCAGTCGCTGGGGTGTCCGTTCTCCAGGCCATCGGCTGGGGTCCCAAAGTCCCTCTCCGGTCCTGTGTAACCACAAACTCCCTCTCCCCTCCCCTCGTTAAACCAGTAACACCCAGGGGCACTGAGTCCCACCCCCTCTGTACCAACAAACTCCCTCTCCCCTCACCTCGTTAAACCAGTAACACCCAGGGAAACTGAGTCCCACCCCCTCTGTACCAACAAACTGCCTCTCCCCTCCCCTCGTTAAACCAGTAACACCCAGGGAAACTGAGTCCCACCCACCCCCCCGCATGCAAACCATTGGAAAACCAAGAAAATCCCCCACTTTATCACAGTGTCTGGGCCCATCTGTCACAGAGGCTGCTCCCCTGGGCGGCGAGACAGATCCCCAGCGCACCCCGGGGACTGCCTGGGACTTGGGGAGGGACGCACCCGGCGTGAGGCCTGTCAGAGCCAGGCCCCTGATTAATCACCAGCCTCCCCGGCCCTCCCCGGCCCTCCAGCGCACGGCTCATTAGCACTTTAATTCCTGGCGCCACTCGCTGAGGGCAGCTGATTGAACTCGGTGCGTCTCATCTGGGGAGCAGTAATCAGCCGCAGCCAGGGACAACAGCCTGAACGGGGAGCTGGGGGGGGGGCAGCCCCGGGGATGGTGCTGGGGGGGGCAGGGGGCATCTGGCCCCGACAGGGCTCGTGTGTGAAATGTCAGGGACGGGGAGCTCCAGCCAGAGGCCGCAGGTGTCGTCTCACCGACGGCGGGAGCGCGGCTCGGGGTGGGCACACGCGCTGTCCTGCTCGCTGGCGTGACTGGCGGCCGGCTCTGCGCAACCAGGGCTGTGCCAGGCTGCCAGGGGGCTGCGCCGTGGGCACGGCTGGGACCTGCTGGTGCTGCCTGGGCAGCTCGCAGGTGTGGCGTGTGGCTGGTGAGCGCAGGACCAGGCAGGCTGAGCTGTGACCTGTGTGCTCTTGTCCAGGGCTGGGGCGGCCTGGGGCCCCGTGTTCCCCACGGGCGCGGCGACGGGCAGGTGGCCAGTCTGACCGGCTCCTGGGCACAGAGCTGGCCTCTGCCTCCCGGCACTGCCCAGAGACGGCCTGGAGCCACCGCGCCCACCCGCCTTGGGGCGCTCAGAGCTGGGGCGGGCTCGTCACAGGGAGCTGGGGGGACCTGGATCCAGCTTAGCCCTGGGCCAGTCCCTTTGGTGTCTGTCTCTGTGGGGCGAGCTCCTGGCCGACTGCCACACGCCTCCCTCCCTCCCCGTGCCCCACGTCTGGAGAGCCCAGTGCGAACGGGCTGGGTCGGACTGTGGGGTGGGGCGGGGCGGGGTCGCTGCATCTCACTGCTTGGGGATAACGCTCGACTGCCTGGGCCTCGCTGCCCCACACCACTCGCAGGGGAGTGTGTCCGTCGCTGAGCTGTGTATGCAGGTGGGTTGAGGATGATCCAGGGGCAGCGGGGAGATGGGGGGGGTCTGCGGGGGGAGTGGGAGGATGGGGGAGCGGGAGATGGGGG